CCTGGGGCGCCCGGCGCCGCCGCCCCCCAGCTGTTGGGAACAGCTGCTTCTCTCCCGGCGCGGCGCGGCGCTGGGCCGCCGGGCTCGGTCTCTGGAGCCGAAGCTGGGTTGGGGCTGGGGAGGGCTGGAGGCGGCCTTGCTCTCAGGGTCTCCTGCTCTCACACGTCAAAGTCCTAGGAATCCCTTGCGGCCCCAGCCGGCACCCAGGGCGCGGGGACTGCGCCCGCGGAGGGAGCTGCGTCGCTTTTCCAAAACGAAAACGCGAGCTCTTTGCGCTCGGCCTCGTTGACAGAGCCCGCGACCTGGACAGCCTAGCTGGGGGCCCCGAGGCCTGGGGAGGTTCGCTGGGAGGCCAGTGCCCCCCCCCCCACCTGCCTCGGAACGCTATGGAACTGGGGCAATCTTACCCCCGAGTTGGGTTACCTGCGGTCTGGAGAGTGAGAAGGAGGGCCCCCAACCTTCCTTGACCCCAAAGAGCTGGTGCTGGGGACAACTAGCGAGGCAAAGCCAGAAAGAAAAAAAAGGTCTAAGCTTAGGTGTGCTGGGGAGAACATTAGCTTTAATTGCTCTGGGCCTAGCCAAGCTAAGTAACTGTAGAAACCTAAGTTTATCAGGCACCACATTCTGTTTCAGAGGATCATACATTAGTACCCCGAAATGACAAATTTATGTTTCCTCCCTAACTCTTGGGGAAGATTGGTACAGCTTTCTCATGATATATTGTCCCTCCTCCCCCTCCCCCTCAGCAAAGAATTAATGTATTTCCTTTTATTTGAATTGTGACAATATTTAGGGACTTTAGCTCAACTATTTTATCAGGATGTAATCGTAAAAGGTGCAATCTTTTGAAATCAACTTGTTACATAACCGCTGGTTTCTACCAGCAGACCTTTAAAGCATTTGTAGAAAATACACTATTTAGTGATTATATATATATACACACACATATATATAATTATATATATATATATACATATATATAATTTTATATCGGCTTTTTGCAATTTCTTTTTATTAAGAGTACATTCAATTAGGCCATAAAAATCATTGTCATATTGAGGTTTGGACGAAGATATTTAATGTGAGCAGGATGTTCCACCCATATAATTTTTAAGTAGTTTCCACCAGGAGTGTTCACTGAAGTCCATACATTAATTGACCCAGGCCACACCATTTATTCCCTTTAAAGCAGTTTAGTATGTTAACTTATGAGAGAGGCACAGACTTCTGTTTCTCTTCCCAGGGCACCTCTGCAGTCAGCCCAAGAGGATGAGATATATTGCAAAAGTTAACGGGAATGTAAATATTCTTATACAAAATGTTAAATTCTGCTTTTCATCTTGCTGACTTTGGCATGAAGTTGGCCTTTGGAGGTGTCATCAGTTTTTTTTTTTTTTAAAGTTTGAACTCTCAGTGGGAGAAATGGAGAAATAAGAAATCTAAAATTTTTTTTGAAAATGTTTTTTTTTTAAATCCAATTGAAGAAAAATAAAGCATTGTACAGGTATATGAGAGCCAGCAAGTGAAATTGTAAACACTCTGTCTTCATTGCTTAAGTAAAGCACAGATTTAAAAGGGACTGTGTGTACCCGTATGATGAAAGATAATTTTTAAAAATCAGAAAAACAAAGTAGGCCGTGAAACAGAGGAGGCGTGTTTTTTAATATTTAACAGCCATCTTGCAATGTTACTTAAGAATCCCTGTACTTAGATGAGGCTCAGGCAAAAACTCTTTTGTGAGGAGAAGCTTGGTTCTTATAGAGAAGCCTTAAAGGGAAGAGTGACTTTGGCTGTTGCACCTCTCTTTCTGCCTGGATGGGGAGCCCACCTGGAAGGCACTGTGATAACATCAAGGAAGGAGGGTGCCTGGGAGTGCAGCCAGCAGCTTGGATGTTCACGAGGTACAGTGGTGAGATCTACAAGGAAATTCTGATCCCAGGTTGGGATCCCTGTGTCAAAAACTCGGCTTCTGGAAATTAGATGCTTCCCTGCCACAGTCCCAGAGAAAATGCAGCCACTCTCCCCCTTCCCCATGTAACCCCTGACTGGCGTCCTTTTATTCTTTCAATGGAAAAGTCAAAATTTGATAGCTTTGTATGAAACTTTGTTCGTTTTGTATAAAATGGTGCCCGGATAGCCCTGATTTTGGATTGCAGAGATAATGCAAGCATTGCTAATAATCTGGTATTGTGTGGTTCTCTGAAAACATAAATTAAGAGGAATGGAGGTTCCTTATTTTCCAAGCCAATTTGTTCTTTTCATTTTTTTTTTAGTTGTATTTATTGGAGGTGACTGGTTAATAAATTATACAGATTTCAGGTACACAATTCTACACTTTATCATCTGTACGGTGTATTGTATTGTGTGTTTCCCATCCCAAGTCAGGTCTCCTTCCAAACCAATTTAAATAGAAGCCATAATTCATACCCAGTTCAGCTTGATTAAACCATCCAGCGCCCCCCACAGGCAGGCACCGTGCTAGGGCCAGGCATTATTGTTTTACATCAGCACAAAGGTGGGTACAGTTACAATGGCCAGATCCATTCTTGGAGGATTTATGAACCTGAGCCAACAGACCATGTAGCCTTAGAGCCATAAAATCTTTTTGAATTCAAAGTTTCAAGGTTATTAAGTACCAAATATTTCTGTACAATTACCCATTACAAAGTCAAAGTCAGGTTGGAAAAACAATCCTTGGGTAATCCTCTTGCTTTCTCTGCTGCTTTTGGCAGAGAAGAACACTTGTATATTAACAAACCTTGTGCAATATGATGTGCGCTTCTTTGGAAAGAGCCATAAAATACTTTAAAAGTTATAAATAGGTTTTAAGCTTGCCATATCCAAATTAGTACACATGGATGGCTCTGAATCCTTGGTTCCTATTCCATGGCAAGATCAATATTATTTTATTAGTCACAATAAGATATTGTCCACTTTGCTCAAAATCATAATCTGACTATTAAAGGCCAGAACCAAACTCAGAGTCTCACACTCATTTATCTATTTTCTTGCTTTCTCTTAAATTAATCATGGAAATCAACTCCAGGCCCAAGGTTTATGAAGAATTTTTGAGAAAAGAGAGTAATATTTCATGAAATTAGAGAAGCATTACTGCTGCTCATGGAGGTGCCTGCTCCAGAGCCAGTATGATTGGCACAGCAAGTCTCCTGCAGGCAGGGTTGATCTCTTAGATGTCGCTGCATCTCCTTCAGGTCAGTTAGATCCTCTGCAGAATTCTACACATATGAGCACTGAAGAAATATTTACTGAAGAGATGTGATATCTTAAAGATATCTACCTATCAACTTGATGTTTGGGAAAAAATACTTTCTTGATTAGAACTGACCACTTGAAGAGTATTTAGGCCAGACACTTAAAAAAAAAAACAAAAACCACACACACAAATATATCTTTGCTGAAGACTTTTATTTTGATTGTTTGGAAACATTTGTTGTTGTTGTTGTTTAAGAGTGTGTGAACATTCTGAGTGTAACCAACAGGTTTCTGTTCTTTTGAGTAGTCTCATGATCCACTGTATTTCTGTTTCTCTGGGTGGGTTGGTCATTTTCTCTTAGTAACAGATAACAAATACATGTATTGGGTTATGCTGCTATTTTAGTGTGCAGAAGAACTGGCAGTCAGAAGCCTCTCAGTTCAGCTCAGATCCACCTTTGGGAGGATTCTATTCATGCTTCATTAAACCACATCTGAGCAGAATGAAATGGAAATTTGTAACTGTTATTCAATCATTAAAGTCGTAATTTCTCTTTTACACCAAGCATCCAGAAAATAGCAGAATAGAGTTTCCTGGAGAATGAGGGAAGGGCAAAAATGAAAGTAAGGGGGGACAAAAAGAGTTTACTGCCAACTTCACCCTGCCAACAGTTTCACTCTGCCTGTGTAGAAGTAGCTGTAAAACGTACACACACTTTAAATTCTACTCTATAAATTTGAAAGGCAAGGAAGAGAATGCAAATGTTTTAAACCCACACTGTGTATTTCTT